CGTCGCCACACCCCCCGCCTGCCGCCACGCCCCCTCCGAGCCCGGCCCAACGCGCATGCGCCGCAGCCTCTGCGGCGCGCCGGAGAACCCGGCAGGGGCGGGGCCAGGAGTAGGGGCGTAGCTTGGGCGGCGGGAACCGGAGTGGGGCGGTCGCCATGGTTACCGGGCGCGGCCCTCGCCTCAGGGCTCGGCGCCAACGGCCTGGAGACCACCACTGTGGTGGGGAGGACCCCACGGCCTGGGGACACCACCACAGCCTGGGGACCCTGCCGTGGCCTGGGGACCCTGCCGTGGCCTGGGGACCCTCACCACGGCCTGGGGAACCTCACTGTGGTGGGGAGGACCCCACAGCCTGGGGACACTACCACAGCCTGGGGACCCTCACCACAGGCTGGGAACCCCCCCCAGGGCCTGGGGCCCCTGCCATGGCCTGGGGACCCTGCCATGGCCTGGGGACCCCCACTTGGTGTGGAGGACCCCATAGCCTGGGGGAGCCCAGGCTTTCAGGGACATCCCGGCGTGGGTGACAGCCAGTGGGCCTCGCCTCTGCATGGGGGACAGGCAGAGCCAGCCAGGGGTGCAGGCAGAGCTGGGCAGGCCGGAGGTGCCAGGGGAGTTTTGGGGTTGCTGGCAATTTCCTGCTGGGTGAGTCATGACAGCAGCAGCCCAGAGCCGAGAAGCCATGCGGGGCTGGCCGGCACTTTCAGGAAGTGAAACAGGCACCAGGAAAACACCCCGAGAGCCTGCGGCCACGCAAGCCTGGCCACGCACATCCCTGGCCTGGCCGGCGTGATGCAACCACCCACAGCCCGGCTGGATGCAGGGCACCGTGCGGAGTGGGGTATGCTGCGGGGTGGTGACAAGGAGTGTCCCCAAAGGCCATGTCCCTGGGGCAGCTTGCGTGGGCACAGGGGACTGAGGGGACAGCAGGGTCCTGTACCCTCAGATATTGGGGCAGTGGGGACTGGAGGGGTGATGGAGGGAGCCCTGCCAGCTGTGGTGCTGCAGGCCTGGGCAGCACAGGAGGAAGCCGTGGGGAAATGGTGGAGTGGCAGTGCTTGCGCCACTGGCCCCTTCCGGGGCATCCATGGTCCCCTGTCCTGACGAGGGTGCGTGTCATCCCGGCCCCAGTGGGATGGGGATGGTGCTGGGGCAGTCCCTGCTAGGTCAGCCCAGCCGCTGAGGGCCAGCACACGAGCACCGGCCCCACACGTTGACCCCAAACATTGCCCCTGCTCTCTGCCCCACACACCGGCCCCAGAGCATCGCCCCTGCTCTCTGCCCCACACACCGGCCCCAGAGCATCACCCCTGCTCTCTGCCCCATGCACGGCCCCTCGCTCAGCCCCACAGTGCTGCTTAGGGGCAGCCAGCGCCCCAGCTCTCCCGGCCATGCTAGAGGAACTGGGCAAAACCAGGCATTGCGAAAGGTGGAAATCCCGCTCTGACAGTGCTTCCGTCCAGAGGCTCTTGAAAACCCGCCGCGCCGACACCAGGCTCAGAGAACACCCAAGCGAGGCTACAGGCAGGAGCAGGCAGCCAAGTGCTGTGGCACTCAACAGGTACTGACAGATCTCTGCCCACGTTTTTGCAGTCAGCGGCGTAGATGGCGTTCGTCCCCGATTTGGACACGCTGGAGAGCAGCAGGTAAGCGTGGCCATGCCGCAGAGGACACTGGGGACGCGATGCTGCTCTGGTGCCATGGTGGCCCTGGCTTCACCATCTCCCTTTGCCTTTCAGCCTGAATGAGGAGACGTTTTATGGCCCCGACTGCCTCTGCCCGCAGAAGGTAACACCGGGTTGGTGGGAACGGCAAGACACCCGTGATGGGGAAGCCGAGCTCTCACCCCACATCTCCTTTCCTCCCCAGAAACCCTGCCTGGACTCAGAGGGGACATCACCCGGGGTGGACATCCAGGTCACAGTGACCAAGGGACACCCTGCCAGGACCTTTCGCCAAGCTGCCGTCCTTGTGGTGGCCGTGACCAAGCTCCAGAAGCAGCCGGTGCACAAGGACTTTGCCGACAGTGACCTTGGGGGCTTCCTGGAGGATATTTTCGGTATGGGGGGGTGGTGTTGGAGGTGTCACTCCAGCTGGGGGATGCTCTTGGGGGATGTTCTTGGACCAGGGACCATCAGCATCTCCCTGACCGTCTCCCTCCCTGCAGAGCCCATCTCCTTCCAGCAGATCGAGGACACCTATGCCAGGGCGCCTGTCTATCGCTACACCCGCTCCCAGTCCTTCGACATCCTCGACCTTGACCACAAGTGCTTTGTGCTGGAGTCGCCCACCCAGCTGGTGGCCCTGCACCTGCAGGGACCCTCTGCCAGATGGAAAGGTGAGGGGACTCGGTCCTTATCCAGTGTCCCCGTCCCTAACCCCGGCAGCCACCCCACAGCCCTGGGACCACCCGTTAACCCTCCTTTTTTCTGCAGTGAAGCTCAACATCGCTCTGTACCGTCCCCGGTCATCGCAGGGTGGCCCAGCGACTGGGCGGATGCCGGTGGCCTTGGGCATTAAGGGTTACCAACTCTACATGTCGTGTGTGATGAGCGGCACTGAGCCCGTGCTGCAGCTGGAGGTGAGTGAGGGGTCCCGTTGGATCCATCCCCAAGGGCCTGGGGGTTCCATCCCACCCTGAACCCTGTTTCTCCCCCCCCCCGGTTGTAGGAAGCTGACATCAGGAAGGACATTGAGAGCATGGAGCTGACCCGCTTCATCTTCTTCCGCCTGGACAGCCCGGGTGATGGGACCACCCGCTTCGAGTCAGCTGCCTTCCCTGGCTGGTTCATCTGCACCTCCCTGCAGCCCCGCCAGCCTGTTGGCATCACCAACCAGCCCGACCAGGTCAACATTGCCACCTACAAGCTGAGTGGGCGCTGAGGAGCCCCTGCACCCAATGCAACCCAACTGGCAGTTGCCGGTTTTCAGGCTGTATGTACCAAGTACAAACCCCGCAGCTGGGACCCCCATGCTCCCCATCTATTTCAGGTGAAATAGCAGCTCTGGGCCCCGTGGGCCTGAGTCACCCCAATTTGTACTTATTTATTGTGTCCACCCCTTGCTTTTAATTTATATTAATTTTATTGGAAATACTGTGGTTTTGTTATCAGGAACAGGGGTATTTGTTGGTGATAGAAGTGGAAATAAAAGGTTTCCCAGGATGGTGTCGCTCAGCTCGTTGCTCTCACAGGGGTTAAACAATGCGGGGGTGGTTTATGGATGGGAAAATCCCACTGTTTTGGCTGCTTTTGGGGGCTCTCCAGGCCTGGGTACAAAGCCCAGGGGGCAGGGGGTGACCCCACAGCCCTGTGACCACCCCAGACCCAAGGGACCACCCCAGACCCAGGGACCAGCCCATCCCCATGTCCACCCCACAGGCAGGGTGGTAGCTGGGGTGGGCGTCCCGTGGGTGGGGGTCACTTGCAGCCCCTGGCA